TGTTTGAAGAAGAAACCGATTCCAGTGGCGCCCGAGCAATCGCGGGCCTATTGGTGAATGGGGGCCAGGCACAGCCGCAGGAGGGGCCACACCTGCCTGGGGTAGGGATCACTCGTTCCGCTGGAGCTCCCCCGCCGCTCCAAATGGGCTTTCATCCCTTGGACAGTTGTGGGCCCCTGTGGAAATTAGTCCTCCAGGGACTGGCCCACCAGCCCTACCGAGACCTGGATTTGGCCCCAGCCAGCTGGAGAGCAAGTCTTGGGATTGTTTTTAACAAGAAGTCCTAGGAATCCAAGATTCGCTCTTCTCTTTCTAGAAGCTGCTACCTCTCCTTTTGGCACAGTATCCCTAACGTGAGGGAGGAGACAGTGGTAAGTTGTTTACTTTCCCTAAAAATCCTCTGAGGGGGAAAGGGAGCCTGTCAAGTGCTAGCAACCTTGGGTAGAGGGGCACACTGGGTGGTCCTCAGCCTGCTGAAACCTCTGGCGGCAGCTAAACACCATGGAAGTCCATCGGCTGCTGAGGCCCAGCAGGCTGTCAGGAGATCGGGAGAGAAGCTTCTATTTGGATTTTAGGCCCTTACGATTAAAGCTGCTGGTCTGTTCCCCCAACCATAATCTTGCCCTGTTTGGTCTACTTCAGAGATTCCTCATGAAGGCCTGGAAAGGCTTGCCTGGCCATAGAGCCCCTTTAGACGGAACAGCCTCGTAAATTAAGCCAGTGGCTTCAGTGTAGAAGCTACACCACTCACTCCCGTCCCAGGTTACAGGCACTCCCACTGAGCAATCTACATATGTTAACTGAATGTTATTTGTTTAACTGATTTTTTTTTTTTTTTTTGAGGATTGGAGTCACTCAAGGGCTGGAAGGCTGTGGCTGATTCAAGGCTTCAGCTGAAACCTCTGCCTCCCAGGTTCAAGCAATTCTCCTGCCTCAGCCTCCCAAGTAGCTGGGATTACAAGCTCCTGCCATCATACTTGGCTAATTTTTGTATTTTTAGTAGAGATGGGGTTCTTTCTCTTTTTTCTTTTCTTTTTTTTTTTTGAGATGGAATTTTGCTCTTGTTGCCCAGGCTGGAGTGCAGTGGTGCGCAATCTTGGCTCACCTCAAGCTCTGCCTCCTGGGTTCAAGTGATTCTCCTGCCTCAGCCTCCCAAGTAGATGGGATTACAGGCATGTGCCACCACACCTGGCTAATTTTGTATTTTTAGTAGAGATGGGGTTTCTCCATGTTGGTCAGGCTGGTCTTGACTCCTGACCTCAGGTGATCCACCCACCTCAGCCTCCCAAAGTGCTGGGATTACAGGCATGAGCCACTGCACCTGATCCTGTTTAACTAGATTTTTAAAAATATATACTAACTTTAAAAAATGAAAACCATACAGAAAGATATAAAATGAAAAATAAACATCTCCTTCCCCACTCCCATGAGCCCCTCTTCTTAGATTTCCTATTTCTGTTTGTAACTAAGTTCAGAAATTTTAAACATATCCACAAGATTATATATGCATACCTTTTTAGATGCCAATAATATCATACTATATATACCGTTTTCTGAAATTTGTTTTTTTCACCGAAAAAGATCATAGAGATCTTCTCAAGCCAACTGAGAGATGGTTTATTACCATTTGCATCATGTTTCACCGTGTGCTGTACATGTGTTGACGTTTATTAGTGATTCTAGATAAATCACTAGAAGGTGACAGCCGGCTAAATGACCTGGAGATTTGCTGTTTTGATAGAGATTACCAACTGTCTTCCAATGAAGTTGTGGCCTTTTTTTTCTCCTACTAACCGGATATGAATGTGTCTATTTCCTCACACCCTGCCAACTGGCTGTTATCAGACTTTTTAATCTTTGCAAATCTGAGAAGTGAGAATGGTAACTTGCTTTAATTTGCCTTTCTTTATGAGGAAGGTCCTTCAGCATGTTCTCATGTTTAGTTATCTGTATTTCTTTTTCTGTGAATTCCCTTTTGTGTCTTTGGCTTGCTTATTTTGGTATCATTTTTTGCTTAGTTATGAATAAGACTCTGATATGTGCTACAGTATATTTTGGAGTTATTTTTAACAGGTTTCTTTTTTAAGCTGTGTAAATGTTTTACAATTTTATGTGGCTAATTTTACAATATTTTATTTTATGGCTTTTGCATCATGGGTACTTAAAAATAATTTTGAGTAATTTCACTTCCACATGTCTCTTCACTTCACATAGAAAAGGTGATTTTTCTCTCTTTCTCCCATGGTTTTAGTCCCCATCCTTCTGCTCCCTGTCCTATCTCCAGAGCCTGAATTGATACAATCGTCTTGCATCAGAGACAGCAAGGATGAATCTCTAGTCCAGTGACACTACATCTCCCAGGGACACCTCTGGGACACAGAGAACCACTGGCCTCAATCCCCTTTGCGGGGCCTGCCAAACAAATGTGGACACAGCTCAACTCTGCTGTGCTCTTATTTTTCAATAAGAGCAATAAGAGCTCTCTTCTCTTGGCACTTCCACCTGTAGGTATGCACATGAGGTGAGGGGTGAGAACAGCCTCTTATTTGGCTGAGGGAGCTGACTTGTGGAAGAGCTCCAGCCGGCCCAAACATCAGCCTGTAGACAGAAAGGAAGAACATCAGCCTGTAGACAGAAAGAGAGAAAATCAGCCTGTAGACAGAGAGAGAGAACATCAGCCTGTAGACAGAGAGGAGGAACATCAGCCTGTAGACAGAGAGGAAGAACATCAGCCTGTAGACAGAAAGGAAGAACATCAGCCTGTAGACAGAGAGGAAGAACATCAGCCTGTAGACAGAGAGAAAGAACATCAGCCTGTAGACAGAGAGGAAGAACATCAGCCTGTAGACAGAGAGAGAGAACATCAGCCTGTAGACAGAGAGAGAGAACATCAGCCTGTAGAAAGAACATCAGCCTGTAGACAGAGAGGAAGAACATCAGCCTGTAGACAGAGAGAAAGAACATCAGCCTGTAGACAGAGAGGAAGAACATCAGCCTGTAGACAGAAAGAGAGAACATCAGCCTGTAGACAGAAAGAGAGAACATCAGCCTGTAGACAGAGAGAAAGAACATCAGCCTGTAGACAGAAAGGAAGAACATCAGCCTGTAGACCGAAAGGAAGAACATCAGCCTGTAGACAGAGAGGAAGAACATCAGCCTGTAGACAGAAAGAGAGAACATCAGCCTGTAGACAGAGAGGAAGAACATAGTCACGAAGAGAGAGTCAGAGGCAGTCGCACAGAACAGGAAAGCCTTTCTGGTTCAATCAAGTGCGGCAGAAAAACCTTTCTGGCTTTTTCAAAGATGTTCTAGAAACATTGAAACAAAGAAACAGCTCCATGTTACCGAAACAGAATTCAAAAGCTAGTATAATAGGAAGAAGATACTTCCCCGCTAGACAATAACAT